AAAAAAAAAAAAAAAAAAAAAAAAAAAAAAAAAAAAAAAAAAAAAAAAAAAAAAGATGAGCTATATAATAGGGACGGTTTCAGTGAAATACTATATTTAAATGATAATTTTAAAATTAAAAACCAGCAAAATTTTAATTCTCCTTATCATAATTTTTATTATTTAAAAGTATCATTTGATTTTATAAGATAATAAATAACAAAAAAATGAATACACAAGTTTAACCATAAAAAAATATCAAATTTCTACAAGCTATAGGTGTGCAATAGAGATGCATAAAAGCCACCTTGTCGAAACTTACTACTAACAAACGTTATTCGCTTTTGCCCATTACGTATCGTGGTCAACCTCAACCTCAACCTCACGTATACTAGGGAGAAGTTTTCATACTCTTACCGGACCAGGAATGCTGACGTGGGATCTCTTAATCCACCTAATATCCTCACGGACACACTGTCTAATGTCTAGCTCTCTTACCATTTATAACGGCCCAAATTCACCGCTAGCATATATTGTTCGATTTGGCCTGTTACATATCACCATATGCCTCACAGTTTTAAACTAGATCTACTAAGGAGAAATTTCCACATCCTTATTACAAATGTTTCATTCCTCTTTTCAACCGATATGAGATCTCTCAATTATAACAATGATAAACTGTCACAAGCAACACATTAGGCAAGATGAAGATCATTTCTTAAGTGTGGTTGTGGTCAAGGGGATAGAACAAAGTGGCCGTTAAATCTCATGGAATGACTGACATTGTCTGCCTATGAATCTCACTCGGAAGTTTGAGGATGGAAGAAGCTTCTCTATTGTTTAATGGTGGTACGAAGATACAAGGTGAAAAAGGCTAATCAGATGCCTTACATACAGTGTCCCTTTTCCTGGAATTACATCTCCTAATAATACAAATTGACTACATACATGCAACATTGACACCCAGATTAAGTAAAAATTCAAGCATTAACTCATGATTTCAACATCCAAACTTTCTTACTAACACATTCTACCTCAGCCTTCAGGGTGATAATATCGATCAGTATTAACCTCATAAAATGATTAGTAAGTATACGACTCAAGTGGTTTGAACCCAATCATCTGAATTCCATAAACAAAGCTGTAAGAAATAAAATGAGCTTCGGTATTGAAGGTAATAAAATTATCCAACAAAATTCATATAGATTCTGGTCCAAAAAACACAAAATCCACCTAGAAACTACAATAGAGTACTAAAGTTGTGCCACAATTAACCTTCAATGTTTTAGGCAGACGCTGCTGCTCCTTTGCTCCTGGGCGCTGCTTCAGTACCTAATCACAGAACCCAAATGTAATTGAAATACCAGAATGCCACAATAACCACATTGATGAGAAGAAAATGCAGAGTAGACTAGTACCTTCTCTGAAACCACTCTTGAATCTGCGTGGAACATGGCGCATGTATCTCATCCGCCCAGTTCCAGTGGTCTTCCTCCTGATCGCCTTCACGCTCCAGTTATCTAAATCCAAAAATAAAGTGAATTCACTCGAACAAATTAGCATATACATAAAGAATGCACTGCTATTTGGGTCGATAATGGAGGATCTAATGAAAAAATAAATAAAACAGATTTAATTGTGCAATGATGAAAGAAACCCAATCAAGTTGCAAACTTATTAAGACGAACTTACATTTTCGCTTACGGGCAGCCGGAAATGCACAGGCGGAACATCGACTCTTCTGCAGGTGGAAGCTGCGACGGCCACACCTAACACAGAGAGTGTGGGTCTTGTTCCTCCTCTTACCGAAACTTCCCGTTCCCTTACCCTAAAATTTACAGATGAAAAAACAAATTGATTAACGAACTTGAATGAAGATTTCAACAACATTCATAAAGAAAGCGAAGAGATTTGACGAATTTGAAGCATGTTCGCCGCTACCATTTAATCGGATTCGACGATGAAGCCTTCGAATTCCTCTCCCGTCCAAAGAGAACAGAGCAAGCAGCGGCAGGCCTCATATTGCGAAGGTGTAGGGTTTGAACTTTGAAGAGTTTGATGGAATCGGGTGAGATGAAACCCGACCCGTATAACTTTGACCTATTCCGAAACTTTTATACTGGGTCGGGTCGAGTATATTTAGAAATTTGACATTTGGGCCTTTGGGCCTGTAAGTGGGCCATCTTAAGTATTATTAAAACAATTTGTTTATAATACCGGCAAATGAAAGAGAAACCCGAGAGGGTCTTTTCAATCTTTTTTCTTAATTAAGCCATTGTCAAACACTCTGTAATATGATTACTTTCTTTTAAACTTGTTTATGAGGATACACGTGGCACTTCATTCTGGATCATGTGGCCACAACTACCATTTGATTTTGTGGTGCAGGTACAATTAAACGACGCCGGATAAAACGTGCAAATTGTGGGGACAGCTTTTTACCTAAAACCCACCAACTTTGAGTCACCTGTGGTTACAGTGGGTCCCACTATTTTTTTTCGGCCGAGGGAATACTGACATCCAACGGTCTCGTGGAGCCGACTATGAAGATCCAACGGCCAAGAACCGACAGACCACGGATGCGCGGCATGACCTAAAATTTAAAAACATGGTTTCAAAACTTGATTAGTGTTCTTCTACACAATTAGATCATTATTAATTTTTTTCTTAATAATAGAAATTATTAGTATTATTCTACAAAATTAGATAATAATTAACTTTACACTAACATTAAAATACAGAACCCGACAAAGTCGAGAAGGATTCCAAATTCATCAACTTATTTGCAGTCTTCATCTATGGAATCGAAAACAGAAACGTGGGATTTTTCTCTGTTCGTCCATTTTCGTTTCAAATCGTATGATCAGCATGCAAGCCGCCATTGCTGAACAGACACCTCAAACTGAGCTCATAAGCAGAGAAAACGGCGCCATTAACCACAAAAGCTCTGGCAATGGCAGTTCCCAATCCACGCCACAAAACACTGTACCCTTCTTCCTTGACGCTTTTGTAGAAACAATCCATAATTCCATTGTACTTTTGAAACGAAATTTTTGACTGAGCTTGAAGTCTGGTTTTCACAACGTCGAGTGGGTAACAGCAAACCCAACTGGCGACTCCGGCGAGTCCGCCGGCGACGATCATCGTTCTCAAGGACTCTTGTCCGGTGTTTCTGCAGCCGGGATGAAGCTTTTCTCTCATGAATTGGTAAGTCCAGAAGTAGAAACAGTGCGAAGGAGCGTCTCTGAGCATCGTGATCGTTAAGCCTCTGTATAGCCCTCTGTAGCCTTCGGTTTTGAAAATGTTCTTCGCAACCTGCATCGGCCCGAGCCGAGACGATCCCACGTCTGAGTGGCTTGAATTTCCCAAATCCTGTAATTGAAGACGGATTTTGATGAGCTCTACGGGTGTTAAAATTAGGCTCTGTAATGCTCCGGTGCCGAATCCGCCTAATGCCACTGCCTTGTACGACGGCGGACGGGTTTGACTCGCCGCCGGATCGATCACCCTGCAGAGTACGGCATTTGTCTGAAAAACAACGGCGTTCTGCAGGATTCGCGTGAAAAAGTAACGAATTAACAAATGGGTTTTGTTGTAACCGTTTCTGGGTATAGTGGGCATATTCTGGAATCTTCAATGAATTGGTTGAAGATTAAACAAAAGACGAACAAATTTGGACCTGGAAAGTGACGGAAGCGAGTGGAGCACCCATTCCTCGGAAGAGAGCGGTGGGGCCGCCATTGGACACGATGTTGCGGAGGACGCTTAGGGCGGAACCGGAGGTGGAGTGTTGTTGTCGAATGCGAAGGGTGTCGAGTGGGTAGCCGGAGACGACGCCTGCAACGCCGCCGATTCCGCCGCCGACGAACTCTTTTCCCCAACTGCTAGCGAGAAATTCCGGCCAGAAATCCATTTTTGAAAATCTACGAGATTTCTTTTCTTCCTTCCTTTTGGGTTTTCTTCAAATTAAGACAAATGGACACACACAAAATCCGCGAGTTTTTGGTTTGTAGTTTGCTTGCACGGAAGAAATTGTTGAAAAAACTGATAACTTTATCCAAATAAGGATATTTCGGTGGTTATTCTTTCCGGGAAAAGAAATCTCTTTCCCGGAAAAGTTGAGGCCACAGACAGACTTCCCACTTTTTCTCAGCCGATTTCACTCGTCGCCTATCAATCTATGCTCTCGTGGAAATTGGAATCTGACAATTAAATGATTGTTCTTTTTACAAAAAGAAAATTAAAAAAAATTAGAAATGGGCCTTAAAAATTCAAGCCACGACCCAAAGATCCACTTCTCCTAGCGGGCCCACGAGCTTAAAACGACACTGTCATGGCTTCCTTCGCCATCGTGCGTCGAGTTTTATAACAGAAGTACCAGACGAAACACTCCGAGGAGAGGGAGAGAGAGAGAGAAATCAGAAAGCGAAAAAGGAAGAGATGGAAATGGCGACCAAGACCGATGTCAGAGCGGAGCGAAGAAGAAGAATTTCAAGCCGAGAAGGGGATCGAATGGCTCTCATCACCGGCCGCTTGCGAAATCTGCCTCCCTCGCCACCGCCTTCTCCCTCTTCGCCGCCATTTTTTCATCATTATACACATCAACGCGGCCATTCGCACACTGGAATCAACCCGTCCTTCTTCGCAAAGGACACCCACAAGAATCCTGATTCCGGTCCTCTCCCTCAAAACCACGGTATTCTTCCTTTTCTCTTCTCTTCATTCATGTCCTGTTTTTCTTCATGTCAATCGCATCCAGACGTTTCACATTTTGAGATTCCACTGTTTGATTTTTCTTTCTCCGTTCCTTCTTCTTTTAGATGTCCTGATTTATATCTTCCTTGAAATTTTGATCTAGAACCCAAATTTATTAACTAATTCGTACTTTTTCTTTGGCGATGAAGCATCGCTTAGTTTTGCATGGAACATCCATAGACGTATTGGAGATCAATCGTTTTTGTCTACATTGCAGGAAATGTTAGGATTTTGATATGCACACACACGAACTTTCTTGTTATAGCCGTTAGATAAATAATCGATTTAGCACATGCATTCCGCATGTTGATTCAAGTTTTATGTGTAACTATTGAGGCATTAGTGATTTCATCTGATAAGCCTCATATTTGCAAATCATGATCATTGCTCAAATATCAGGTTGAAATTTACATTTCCTCTTTCAATTATTCATCACATGAAAAAGATAATCATCCTGATACCAACAATGTGGTAGATTCAACTCAACTAGATAACATTGCTATAATATAACAATGAAAAAGATAATCATCCTGTACAAATTTCTTTATCTATAATGAATCTATCGCTTTTATATTTCATGTTGAATGAACTAACTTCGAATGAAATAGCCATAACGGAAAGTATTCTATCTCAATGCAGTTAGAAAGACATTAAAAGTACACTTATATTGATCAGACTTTGGTTTGTTAATGATCGTATATTTGGGCATTTATGAAGTTGGGAAGAACAATAAGAGAAATCTTTTGATAGTTATGAAATTTTATTGGCAAGTATTAAACATGATACGTTAGTTTCTTTTCTATTCAATGCATAATGATAAAGCAAAAAAGAAATCGATACCAATATCATAGATCTATTTTGGTTGTTTGTTGTTCCTGTTTGAAACTTCGCTAGCAATTGTCATTTGATTTTTCTTGCAGTTGTAATGGGAATTTGAAATCATGATTTTATGTGGGTTAATTTTTTGGATGAGAAAATCTCATTCGACAACAATTGATATCAAAACGACAACCATATTCTGGCTTGATGCATGAGAGATGATTGGATTAGCTCACATTGATTTGAATGTTAGTATATAAATGAGAATTAGAATTTCTATCACTTGAACTAACTTATTTGAAGTCAATAGTCTTGTTTGATCGATACAGACAATTATATGGAAACCAAAATCACTCTGATTTGTAGTTTTACAAGAAAAACTCTTTTAAGTCCGTTTGTTTTGCAGATGTTTCCAAGCCCAAGGATGAAAAGGCTCCCCCTCTACTGAAGCATATTTCAATCAATGAAGTTCATAATAATGCTGCCATAGAATACCAATTCAATCCTAAAAAACTAGACCCCATAGGAGAAGGAAGCACTGAACTAATCTTAAGTCCGTCTTCCGTAACAATGGTTCAGAAGGCCTGCATTGATAACGAACCACTGCCAAAAACAAAGCCCTCAAAGCCTAGACTCATCACTTCAAAACGACTGAATGCCAGCATTTTAGCTTCTCAAACCACACGAGTTTTCTGTTCGCTGATCATTGCATCGTTGGCCATTCTATCGCAAGTCGATATCCCACTTACCATAATTAGAAACACGGTGAGGTCAGAGACTGTGATGGCCTCAAAACCTCTCTACATTCTACTGCTCACCAACGCAACGATTGTGGTGGCGAGAATGTTGGCTGAAAAACAGAAAGACAGGGGGGAGGCAGAGGAAGAATGTGAGAAAATGAAGGAAGATGCACAGAACTGGGACTCAGCTGTGAAAGTTTTGGAGAGAGGTTTGGTGTTTTACCAAGCTTTTCGTGCAGTTTTCATTGATTTTAGTGTTTATGCCGTGGTTGTTATCTGTGGCCTCTCTGTGCTGTAGCTTTATGTGTTTGGTTTGATCTAGTGAACCATCTTCAGTTCCTTGGAGCTTAGCAGATGGATCACATTTTGAAAGATTGCTGGTTTGATTATGTTCTTTCTTTGAAAGGTACATATACATATTTGAAGAGCACCATTTGGGTGTGGCTGTGTATGGCCAATCATAGTTGTTAATTATTTGAAATGCTTAAAGCTTTTCTTGTTCTTTTCCAGTATCAACTCTGATATTGGTTATTTATCTAGTTTCTAATATCATTCCTTACGACTACATTGAAGGAATCAATTGATTTGTTTTGAAAGATCTCATTAAAGAGACATTCTCATTTTTATATGGTGGTCGTTTTTATCTTAAAGGCTTAGATACTTGCAATAGATTTGTTTAATGTGAGAGTTGTATATTGATGAAAGCCAAATGTAAAATTGATCCATAGATAGAAGTGGCTTTTTATACACAAGAAGAAAGAGCTCTCAACAATACTTTCTCATGAGCTTTATTTCAATTGGCCTCTCGCCCCCGTGGCTCCTCGTATTTTGAAAGGGTGTGTTAATCAGTATATTCACTCAAAAACATGAGGAATGTCTAAATTAGTTTAAACAAACCAAATCTAGTTTAACTAACTAATTCTTATCCGACATAAACCCATACAATATTCATATGATATTGATGGTGTACGAGATTTAAACTTTCAAGTTCACATCTTACTAACTAAAAATATATTTTTTTTGCGTATTTATTTTAGAAACAAATTTAATGACGAAACATTTTTATGCACAAAAGTTTAGGGAGATCATTTAATCTATTTATTTTAATATGCACTTTTAGTTTATTTCATTTGTTGTAAGGTGAGAGATCATGGTTCATGCTCCATTTCATTACTTACAAATAAATAAAACAAAATTAATCAATTCATCTCTTAAATTTTTTTTAAAATGTAAAACATCAAATACTATTACACACAAAATAAAAAGTTATTATATACTTTTTTTTTTTTTTTTAAGTCTATTATTGAACTTCATTTAACTTTATATGTATTAACTATTAATGAAGTTGGTTGGAAAGTATAATCTAAATGTAATTCTCTTCTGATTTTATAGTTGATAGTTGGGATCTCATTAATTACATGTGAATCTTTGTAATTTAATTATGAGAAATGAAATATTAATTTAACAATAATTTAAAAATTAAGGGGTTTTTTTTTTGTTTTTCATTTGTTTTATTGTGTTTGAAACCTAATATATGTTATTTTATGTAAATTGTCGTTTTCAAATGGAATAGTAATGGCGAATGGCCCCATAAGGAAAAATCAAAGGCTGCAACTGCAGCCCTTCTTACTTTGTCAAAGTGGCATCCCAAACTAGCTGACTACCCATTTATGATGATAAAAACAAATTTTTGCTAAATTATAAATTAAATTGGTTTTAAATTTTTTTAATAGATTTTTATTGAACACAAGTTTAATATCCTATAAATAAAAAATAAAATTTAACTTTATTTTGAATAAATTCGTTAATTTAAAAAATATATTAAAAATTACCAAAATATAAAAATAAAAATTTATGGACCAATTTGTGAATTTTAATATGTATTAAAATTTTTCAAAGGAAATAAAAGTTTAAGATATATATATATATTTATTTATTTATTTATTATGTGGACGAGATGATTTGATAATTAGTAATAGTCAAGATACGTGTGCCTTCCTACATGATTCACTGTATCATAGGGAATGGCAACGAAAGGGGTAGACTTGGAAAATTTCCACTCGCTATTTTTAATATTTGGCTTTTAAATCAAATTTTAAATTTAAAAAACAATCAAACGAAAATAAAATTCTCATGTTTCCTCCAAAATTAAATAATAAAGTAGAAATATATGCGTATTAATTATCATTAGGTAGCATGTAATTCTGAAATTTTATTTAATTAAAGCAATTATTTATTTATTTATACATTTTATTTTAATCCCAATTTTCAATCTTAATGATAGGCGTGTAATCCATTTATTGTGCTCGGCTTTCGTGGTTAGTGAGTGAGGAGGTTAATATTAAAGTTTTAATTCTATTAAATCTAGATAAATATTAAGCTATAAATAAGCATTAATAAATTATTAAAACAAGCTAACAAAACATTCAAAAACCAACTAAAAAAAGGAAAAAAAAAACGTAAAAATATTGAAATAAAATAAGCAGCCGACATTCTAGAATAATTTGGCTACGTTACGTTCTCCTCCTATAGCTACTAACTACTTAATTCAATTGATTTTGGTTTGAATTTCTTTCTCCTAATAGACTCAAACTCACAAAAAATGAGTGATAAATAGATTATTCAAATTTCATAATCTTATAACAAAATTTAAACTCTATATAGTTCATATTTATGCAAATTAATTTGCTAAAACACTAATAAAGATCGATTACTTTCAATCGAAAACTGGAGAGAGAGGGGGCTTCGAAGAACAGAGTCACTAAATTTTCACTTTCAGAACCACAAACTCAGGCGGCGGCCTTCGCAAAATGGCGGAGGAAATGGCGAAACGAGCGGAGAAAGATCGACTAATCGCGTCAGGATCATCGTCGCCGACCATCATCACAGACCCATCATCGAAGTTCTGCAAATACGTCTTTGGATTATACGGCACGTGCACCTCACGAGCCCCACTCATACCGCACCTGAACATTCTCTTCTTCTCCTTCTTCAGCCTCCGCCACAGCACTCTCCACCTCGCCGTCGTCTTCTCCAAAACCGCCACTGTCACCGCCGAGTAGTACCCTCTTTCCACGTACCCAAGCCCGCCGCCGGAGCCCCTTAAGCAACTCAAATCCATCGTGCCAGTCTTTCAAGTGAAAATACAGGAATTTCAACGTTTCTTATATTTATATTCACAAAATGGAAATTTTTAAATACACTTTTTAGTTTTTAGAAATAATTTAATATGTTACTTTCAAAATTATTTTATTTATTATGAGTAGCGAGCCTTGAGGATAGATTCCACGTGTCCTTTTTTTAATAATTCTAATTAACTTTTTCTTTTAAAACAAAATCATAAAAAAGTAATGAAGATTTTGTCAAATCATAATAACTATTTATAACATACAAGGTTTCATACAAATCATAAGAACGCTTCAAATCTTAGACCTCAGAAATCGAGCTCAAGTTCTTGTACATCTCGGAGGCGACGTAAGAAAATTCCGACAATGCCCTGAAGAGCTCCGGCAGCTGATTCTTGAGACTCACCAGTGATTTCTCCCTCACATGAAGGCATTGCTTTGCATGACTTTCCTTTTCCTCCTCCAATTTCTTCTTCAACAACTCTACAACCACCAGCTTCTCTGTAACCGCGGCGTCCTGTGCATTTTCTTCCGACTTCTCGGGGTCCAACTCGCCGGGCATTCTTCGTTGCTGGTATTTGTAATGCCAGTCATTAAATTGCCTCTGCTTGCGCTCGAGCTCCTTCTCAGTCTCGTCGCATCTCGTCTTGAGCTTCATCTCTTCTTCCTGCTGCAATGTAATAGTATTTATCACAGCACTGAAGCTGGATATAGCAGTTCGAAGATGTTCGTCTGGGAGTTTTTCGAGTTGGTCGTGCCAAGCAATGAGAAGTCTCTGAATGGGGGGATTTTGAGATCTTGGTGGAGAAGAAACCTTCTCTTTCAAGCTACTCTCTATAGGAACTAGATTTAGTTTCAACCAACTGCTTAATGCTTTTATGTAATCTTTTTGACGCAACACGAGCTTCTCAAACTGCAAATGCCACTCTCTCACGATGTTGCAGAGCTGTACCGTGTGCTCGTGGTGATGCAGACTAGTTTCTTTTGGAGATTGAGAGAGATCCAGATATCTCAATGCGCTTACAATCTTCAATTGATCTTCATGCTGAATTCTCATCGACTCCCACATCAATGTCATCCTGCAGTATATCAAAAATTATTTGTAGTGCTAACATATAAGCCTTCTCATGTATATCAAGCTAACCAAAATCTACTTTGAGGTTGATCTCTAACAATATTGTTCTCTTTGGGTTTTCCCTTCCGGGCTTTCCCTCAAGATCTTTAAAACGTGTCTGGTAGAGAGAGGTTTCCACACCAAATACTTAGTTCTCCTCCTCGACCGAAATGGGATCTCGCAACCATTTTCTTCATAGATCAAAACCTCTCAAGTATTCCATTAGTATAATCCTCACTCTTTAACAATGCTACAATATCTATATCCGCACTCCTCTACCACTTCTGATATCATAATCAATTATAAAGTTCAAGCTGAACATACACAGATGAGAAAAATGAGATGGGCGCAAACATTGGGCAGCAATGGTGTACTTAAAACAATCAAAGATTGACAGGCATGCCTGCCAAGGCTCGGGCAATGGGTCTCACAGATGGAGCCAAATTCCATACTTTTCAGAGACTGACTCATACCAGTGGTGTGTCAGAAATTAGTAAACTTTGCAAATTGCAGACTTTAGACTAACTCGAATCTATTCATTTAGTATCATATAGAACTTACCCATGGACAAGCTGAACGAGTTTTGGGTATAACTGTTGGTCTCGCAAACGATTGATCTCCGAGACAGTTGAATCCAAGGATTGCATGTCAACGATGTATCTTGTATGCAAGTGACTCACGGCTGCTTTTGCTTTCTCCAATGATTCTGAATTAGAACTTCGATTCTTTAGCCTGTTCAGTGCAGCAACCTTCCTTTGGTACTCGAATTTCATAATTTCCCCTGCCTGTTGAATAATAATCACAAAATAAACGAAGATGAGTTCCATTATAGACACAAATGAAAGCAATCTCCATGTTTCTTTCTCCCCGCCAACCAATTCACCCCCTTCAGAGCCCAGCGAGCCGATGTGAGATCTCACAATTCATTCCCTTCAAGACCCAACTTTAGGGCCAGTGTCATCCACACCCTCATAAAAAATGTTTCATTCTCCTCCCTAACCCATGTGGGATCTCCCAATCTACCTCCCTTCAGGCCCAAAATCCTCCCTGGCACACCGCACAATGTCCACCCCCTTTGGGGTTCATTATCCTCTTCAATTGATGTGGGATCTCACAATCTACCTCCCTTCAGGTCCAACATCACCCCCTTTGGGGTTCGCTCTCCTCTCCAACCGATGTGAGATCTCACAATGTATCTCCCTTCAGGTCCAACATCCTCGCTGGCACATCACACAATGTTCACCCCATTTGGGGCCCAACGCCTTGCTGACACACTGCCTGATGTCTAGCTCTAATACCATTTGTAACAGCCCAATCCCACAGCGAGCAGATATTATCCTCTTTGGGTTCTCCCTTTCGGGTTCCCCTAAAAGTTTTTAAACCGCATATGCTAGGGAGAAGTTTTCACACCCTTATAAATAAGAATGTTTCGTTCTCCTCCCCAACCAATATATTACTTTCTTTTAAGGAAAATCAGCATAAACATAGGAACAATAATAGAAAAGATCACACTAAAAGATGTACCTTCACTTCATCATATAACTTCTTTTCCCAAGCCAGGAGTTTATCTAGCACAGTGGCATGAGTTTCTTGATCATCTGCATAAAGTTCATCTTTTCCATTATCCATATCAGAAATTCCTCTAAAGGACCTGTTCCATGTAATAACACGCATCACTCTGGCAGAGTGATCGATGTGCCCTGATAAGAACACAACAAACCAAATCGAGTTCTTCAGAAATAAGAACAATAAACAGATTTTGGTAAAACAGTAGATCAGAGGTCGAGCATTCTTCACCCCAAGCTAATCAAAGATTCAAACAGAGAAAAAGATCAAATATTCTACTAAACCTTCAACTTCAACATGCTTGAAAGATAAATAAAAGGCAAGGGATCTTGATACCTCGGCCATCAGCAAAATTTGAGTGATAATGCAATCGTGTAGCCTCAAGCATCTTGGACACTTCATGGGCACTTTCAGAAGCCTTGAGAAAATGATCATCAAGTTTCACAAATATCTGCAACAGATTAGATTTAGCCTCGTCCATGGAACCTACACCCCCGACCTTCTTCAAGCTCTTAGATGTTATGGCTGATGGCTCCGCCACCACAGGCGGCGGCGGTGGTGGCTCCACTGCTTCAGCTTCTTTGCCCCCTCTTCGATCCTCTATGTCATCATTTTCCCCTCTTTCAGGACTTTTATCAAACGGGTCGTCCTCAATCTCCTGCTCATTGATATTGGCCTCTTCGGTCTCGCTCAAAGTCGGACCAGGCATATTGTCCATAGCAAAGAAGTAATCATAAGTCGTATTCTGTAGTTGCGCCGGTGCTAATGGCCGGTTCATCTTCAGCGGTGGAGTACTAGTAGGCGGCGGCGGCGGGGGACCCTCCAATTCTGCATCAAGCTCTGTGTTTCCAATTCGGCTACTCCCACCTCCACCGCTACCTCTTTTGCTTCTCCTCCTCAAGGAACCAACAGAACCCTCATTATCGATTTCATTTTCATCCTCCTCCTCGATAATGGGAACTGGCTTCAGATCGGACTTGAGGATGTTTATCTCCGGCATACTAGCAGCTCTAGGAAGAGGAGAAAAGAAATTCGGAAGCGGCGGCGGCGGTGGCTCAAGGGGCTCATAAGACGCTGCAACAGAATCAATTTTCGGGTTCGATTGAGCAGTTTCATTGACCAACTGCGGATTCTGAACTTCCCCATGGGCGTAATCGCTCAAAGAAGCTCCAGTGTTCTTCAAAGACATTATATAAGCGGAATGAGCAGCCGCAAAAGCATTACGCGCCGCAACAGCATCTTTCATGTGAATCTTCCGGTCTTTACACCGCGCAATCGCTTCTTCGTTCTCGATCTTCGATTGTGAGCAACCCATCGGAGCTCCGCCGCAAGAACTAACGCCGGTGGGCCGACTAATCAGAAATGGGGCATGAAACCCCTTACTCCTAGCTAGAAAAACCGGAAGAATCTAAGAGAACAAAGCCGCTCACTCCTCGAACAGGACGTGCATTACAGAAGAATCAACGAAGAATAAGTCGATGCGATTTGCTAAGATTCCGTGAAAATGGGGAAAAGGGAAGATGCTTTCTCGCCGGAGGAAATGGCGGAGGGAGCTTTCTGCGGTGGAAAAAAGTGGGATTGGGAGTGTACAGTGGTAACATATCGCTAATTTGACGCAACTTTTCATGGGTGGCCCTCCATGCTGCTTTTCGAAGGATTTTTGCAGTAAATTAGTGTTTCTTTTTGGATAACTAAAATTTTGAGAATAATTTTGAAGCTCTGTCTGTGGCTGCCCATCACTTCCATCGCCATTAAAGCTTTTCCTTTCAACACCGTCTAGTGATTGCGGATTCAATAATTTTGAACGTTTTTGTGTTTAGTCAAAAGTCCATTAAAAAACACTTTCATCAAAAGTTTTTAGTAACAAATTAATTTAATTTTTGTGTTTAAATTCTTTAAGATACTTTTCCATCAAACACTTTCCCTTTAAGCGATCCACAAATATTCTTTTGCTTTTGTTGAAATACTTTTTGAAACTTCCAAAAAAATACATTACATGTTAAGAACACTCTCAACCCTGACTCTAAACATGGCACTTCTAAGAATGTCATTTCAAAATAATTAAAAAATAATCAAATTAAAATTTTAATTTTTAATCTTTTCATTAAAATAAGTAATTGACCTTAACCATTTACTTCTTCAATTTTAATTTTTAATCTTTTCATGAACTTAAAAAGCAATGAGTGTTTCTTTCTCCTCCCCAATTAATATGTGATTCTCACAATTCACTCTCTTTCGAAAACTGCACACTTATTGGCACTTGTTCCTCCTTTCTCCAATCGATGTGATACCCCATTAAATCCACCTTGTTTTTACTGATACACCGCCCTCGTATCTTGCTAGCAGATAGTCCCTTTGGAACTTTTTTTTTCGAACTCCCCCTCAAGACTTTAAAATGCATCTGCTAGGGAAGAGTTCATTCACCATTTCCTCCCAACCAATATAGAATTCTCACGCCAAAACTTTCAATTTATGTATATAATAGGTCTCTCGTGTTAATCTAAACAACCGAGGTAAAACTCAACCAACCAGAAGGAAATATAATCAAAAACTCCTTAAATTTCAGAATCAAAAAGTATGTGTGTACAATGCTCTTCAAACCAACATCAAGGATTTCTAAGTTGATAAGATAACTCACAAATTAGAACCAAATAGAAAAATGGGAATGAGGACATACCTCTTCTGCTCATGAAGAACACATTTTCTGTTCATTAAAAAAGAAAAAAAAAAAAGAGTTTTTTTTCCCATTTTCGAGCATTAGTTTACCAAAAGCACTGAATCACATTGACAAGAAAATGGAAGAGATGGTTCTCGCCGTCAAGAAAATCAGGTCTAACTAATCTCTCCAAGTTCAAGCTCCGAGGGAGGAGGCCGCCGTAATGCAGCAACGTCACGAAGAAGGCGAGCGGTTGCACCGCCATAGCCATAACCAGCCTCAGCAGCGATCGGAGCATCAACTACCGCAACAGAAGGAAATTAAAAAAAAACAGGAGCAGAGCTTGATGGGAGAAAATGCCAACTATTGTTAATGAAACCTGAAATATTACCACACAGAACCGAAGTGAAAAGCTTAGGACTGAGAAACCAAGAGAAAAGGTAACATCTTAGGAAATGTCGAAGTGACATCATTGCCACCGTCACACTCCCGCCCTGTCTCTTTCTTTCTTTTGGACACATCAGAGATCCTAAAACAAGAAAGTTTTCATTTTTTTTTTTTTCCTCGAACAAGGATCTTCTTACCTTATGTTTTTCCAGCCTCACCATGCAACCATCCCAGCAAGACCAAGGCTGCCAACACAGCCACAGGACCATTCAGCAGTCATGCATGCTTTAGCAGTGAGATAGTTGGGTCATCATTCATTGGATTGAATATATGACCAGAGTAAGTGGAAAGATGCTAACTCTTCCACCTACTCAATCCGAGATTTTATCAAACCATACGACCAAAATAACTTTGAAATCATACAGACTGAATGTTAATTTTCTAAACCAAGTGGAATCTTGAGTTATCGATATCAATGCGCTTAAATTAGTTTATTTATTGTCGGTTGATTGTATGAGAAAGCACCCACATAAGGAGGGAGATATAAGAACAAAAATAAAGAAAAATAGTCTCCTAACCAATGAAAATAATTCCAACGAAAAACATGAAATTTCCTTAGGATTTGGTTTAAAGTTTGTTGCTTCAATCTAGACTTGACAAACCGATCTCAAGTTCTTGTACATCTCCGAACTGGAAAAAGAGAATTCTGACAAAGCCCTGAAGAGTTCTGGCAGCTGATTCTTAAGGTTTAACAATGATTTCTCCCTCACATGAAGGCATTGCTTCGCATGAGTTTCTTTTTCCTCTTCTAATCTCCTTTTCAAGGACTCTACCACGATTAACTTCTCCGTAACTACGGAATCTTCACTGTTATCTTCAGACTTTTCAGGGTCCAACTCATCAGGCGTTCTTCGTTGCTGGTATTTGTAATGCCAGTCGTTAAAATGTCGCTCCTTGCGCTCGAGCTCTTTCTTGGTCTCCTCCCACTTTAACATCAATTTCCTCTCGTCATCCTGCTGCAGCATAATGGTATTAATCACACCCCCAAAGGTGAATATGGCAGTTTTGAGATGTTCATCTGGGAGTCTATCGAGTTGATCATCCCAAGCGAGGAGGAGTTTATGAATTGGAGGACTTTGAGCTCTGGGTGGAGAAGAAACCTTCTCTTTCAAACTACTCTCTATAGGAACTAGATTTTGTTTCAACCAACTGTTTAAGGCTTTAATGTAATCTTTTTGACACCGCACAAGCTTCTCAAACTGTGAATGCCAATCTCTCACAACACCACACAGCTGAACCGTGCGCTCGTAATGATGGGTACTAGTTTCTTTTGGGGATTGAGAAAGATCCATCGATCTCAATGCACTTACGATCTTCAATTGCATTTCATGATGAGCTCGCATCGTATCCCACATCGTCGCCATCCTGTGGAACAACAACATTAGAATCATAAAAATGGTTTTGATACGAATGTCAGCAATGCGCTACCATACCACGAAACCGTGCATCTAAAGTAGAAATATGTAAACCAACAAAATCATGTAGAATCATTTTACTTATATTAATGAGGGACAATAAGCAACAATAAAGTACAATGAACAACTATATGCATGTGCATTCTCACGCAACTCACCCATTAACAAGCTGAACAAGTTTTGGGTATAACTGTTCGTCTCGTAGACGACTAATCTCTGAGACAGTTGAATCCAAGGATTGCATGTCAACAATATATCTAGTGTGCAGATGACTTACTGCTGCTTTTGCTTTCTCCAATGCTTCTACATTAGAATCTCGTTTCTTCAGTCTATTCAATGTAGCAACCTTCTTTTGGTATTCAAATTTCATAAGTTCACCGGCCTGTCAATCGTAATATCACAAATAAAATTCAGTTAAAAGAAAGTTTTTTAGTCGCATCATGTTGCCACTCTGCTCCATCGTAGAAACACAAATTTATTTCAATAAGATCAAGGAACATCAAAAGCCTCAACCCATATAGTGCCTGCCTAGCCTATTACTTCAAAGAGAACAAGATTGCAAATAGGTACATGCATAAATGGTGACCTGAAGGCTCCAAGGATCAAAAGGATGGTGTCAAGAGCGCTCATGAATCACAGAGCAGATTTTTTAGAACAGAATATAACTAAAAATGGTAAAAAGACATCACATTTTTGCTATTGGTATGAACTTCCATTGTTTTTCATGAGTTAAAAGGAGTTGGCAATCCAATGATGAAATTATATCATGTTAGAAGATTGTCTGTGAAAATGAGGAGCCAAAAGAGATGCTTAAATATTCGGATAGGAAGAAGAGTATTCCATATACCTTCACTTCATCGGACAGCTTCTTTTCCCATGCCAGTAGTTTATCTAACACGGTTGCATGAGTTTCTTGTTCTTCTGGATAGAAATCATCTTTTCCATCATCCATATTAGGCAGTCCCCTAAATGATCGATTCCATGCAATAACACGCATCACCCTGGCAGAGTGGTCAATGTGACCTAAAGAAAAGTACATCATATTCTTTTGAAGAAAAGATATAAGAACAAGCTTGAATGATACCTCGATTATCAGCAAAGTTTGAATGATAGTGTAATCGTGTTGCCTCAAGCATCTTGGACACTTCACGGGCACTCTCACAAGACTTGAGAAAATGATCATCAATATCTATAAATATCTGCAACAAATTCAAATTTGGCTTAACCATCCTCTTTCCCTCTGTGGACCCCATAGATCCTGCTTGGTTCGTCTTCTTCGAGCTCTTCGACACGGAAGTCGCAGGTTCTGCAGGCAGGCAGGGAGGCGGCTCCACCGGCTCCTCGAGCAATGGCTCCACTGTCTCAGCCTTTACACTTCTTCTCTGCTCATCAATATCGTCACTGTCCACTACCTTGGGCTTTATATCAATCTCCTCTCTGTTAATGTATACCTCATCAACTTCAGAGAAAGTCGAGACGGGTAAATCCATAGAGAAGAAATAATCGTAAGTTGAATTTTGTTGTGGGGGCGGTGGAATGTGCCGGTTCTCAGATGGTGGCGGCGGCGGCACTTGCGGCGATGCATGGGCCAAATTGTCATTTAGCTCCGAATTTCTATTTCGGCTACTCCCTTCATCCCTTTTACTTTTGTTGCTTCTCCTCCTCCTCAGCCCACCAACAGAGCCTTCATTTTCATTTTTATCCTCTTCCTCAATAATCGGCGATCCTGGCTTGAGATCGGATTTGTGCACATTCATCTCAGGCATGGTGGCCGCCCTTTCAAGAGAATTGGGAAAATTAGAAGGAGGCAAAGGCGGCGGCGGCGGAAAAGGTTCAATAGGGGCGGGAGCGGAAGTAATGGCAGAATTAGGTTGAGTAGATACATCAACAAATTGGGAATTTTCAACCTCACCATGGGCATAATCACTTAAAGCAGCTCCAATATTTTTCAGCGACATAGAATAGGCGGAGTGCGCAGCGGCGAAAGCGTTTCGAGCCGTCGCCGCTTCCTTCATATGAATCTTCCGTTCTTTACAACGGGCTATCGCTTCTTCATTATCGATCTTCGACTGAGAACAACCCATTAAGCTCAGCTAATCGGCGGCGATGGCGGAATCAAGACTTGAGCATGAAGGATTTGAGAACCCAAACAGAAAAAAAGAAAAAAAAAAAAAAAAAAGCTGGGATTGCAGTGGTTTGAAAATAATTTTGAAGTGATTTTGAGGACAGTCGTGAAAATTCTGCTGGTTGGAGCCTTTTAGGATCCATGTTCGAACGTTACATTACACAGCACCTGTTTTTCACTCTCAAAAGACTTGCCTTATAAGTATATGGGCTCTCCCTCCTTTTCGGCATGTCTTTATTTTTTTCAAAAAAAAAAAAAAAAAAAAAAAAAAAACTTAATAATAATGATAATAACAATAATAAATCCTTTTTTAGTATCCTATTTTACAAATTGACTTTTTAAAACAAAAAGGGGAATGTTATGATAATCTATCCATATTAGGTAATTGGGAGTGGCCTCTCACATGCATGGCTGGACAAGCATTTAATTTATCATAAATTTTAAAAAATAATAATAATAATATATATAGCACATAGAAAGTGCTTGCCTTTTCTTTTTGTTTGCCTGATTAAATGAAAACATTAACTTATAACCAATCTTAAATTAACAACAAATGTAAAGTTAAATTAAAGCTAATCATATGACCTTTAATTAACATTTTCCTTTATAATTTTTTTTTTTAATTTGAAAAGGAAGCAATTTTTTAGTTGGAGAAAGTCATGATATAGCAATAATCCAACAGCTCTAAAATATATATTATCTTCACTTAAGCTTCTGTCTTTACTGTTAGATAAGATTATTTAAAAAATTAAATAACGTTAATTATCATCGAATTATCTTAAACACGACGTTTAGTGAAATTAATGTATTTTTTTTAATTTCAAAATATGTAATTTAATCTATATCTTCTTCTTTATTGAAAAAAATATATAAACATTAAAACATAAATTTATAATTAATTGGGTTTATTTTTGTTTATTACTTTATTCACGAATTGGGATAATCAATGATGCTGATTTGTGGTGCGCATATTATCTTCGGTGGGAGTGTGTACACGTAACAAAAACCCTTTTTTTTTCTTCTTTTTATTTTCTCTCCCGTCGGGAATATACGTACATCTATACAAAGAAGTGGCGTATAATACAGAGTTATTCTGTACTAGAGAGAGAAAGGAAGAGAGAGAAAGGTGGTATTTCAGATACCTCAGCGATGGTTTTTATTGCTTTCCTCTGATTTTGATACGTTCGAGAGCCCCAAAAAATGGCGGATAAAACCTTCCAAGTAAAAGCCTTAACTTCATCTTCAACAGGGTTTTTGCAAAAATTCTCCATTCCTTCGCTTTGGCACTGTTTCTTATGAGATTACTTTTATGCATTTTTGAGTTTTGAGCTCGTTGTCTTCTTCGATGGTTTTCGTCCAAAACCAGGTGCTCTACTGTTTTTCCCCCTTTTTAATAACTGCATTGCTGATCCATCCTTCATGTTTCTCGTTACTGTTGATCTTGATCCCTTTTTGTTCTGTGCATTTTTATGCTTTTTGATTTTGAAGTTCGTCTTGGTCTTCGGGATTGTTTCGATGAAGAAGAACGTTTTTTGTGTTTTCTTTTCGGTTTTATTTAGGTTTTCTACCAATTTGGTTTGTGCCCTAGTTTTGAAATTCTATTGTTAATCTGTATGGGTTTCTTATACGTGCTTTTGAATCTTGTGCTAGTTTATCTTATCGATCATTTTGGGAAATCTTTGACTGTTCGATTTTCTCCCCCCTTGCGATTGATTTGTGGCAAGACGAAGACGCCCGAGTAATTAGGGAATTCTGCAGGATTTTGAATCTTCTATGGAATTTTATGCTGCGTACTTCTTTTATTAAAGTATTAATTACTTATTTTAAATTTGATCATAGTTCTTACTATACTAAAACCATTGTGCCGTTTACGTCACTTCCTTATTTCCTGACTTCCATAAAAATCTATCTTTGTTCTGTTTGATCAAAGTCCTACTCTGTTTCCGAACTTACTGCTACCAATTATGGTAGTTCTTACTACATTAGATGTTTGTTGAATGGATAATTTGGACCAAAATAGGGTTTATATGTAAAGTTGAAGCTATAGGATGTTTGAAAATGGATAATGAAACTTTAATACTTTATTTTTTATTGTTTTGAGTATGTAATTCACTTCTCTTCGTTTCCATCATTCTTATTGTTTTAATAAGATACATTTGCTGCATTATTCAAAGAGGATTGTAATTGGTATCCCTTTTTGGGTGTTACTTGATGCAGCGAGCAGATCCTAAAAAATAAACAATAATGGTCCTGGATAAGGCGATGGAAGAGGAGTAATTATTGTAGAAAGAGAGAGATAGAGAGCATTTGATGGCTAATTCTGCTTCAGACTCCTACTTACAAGCTGGCTCATTGGGCAAACATTTGAGCAGTTCTCTGTTCAGTATTCCTGGATTTTTTGCCGGGTTTGGGTCAAGAGGTTCGGTAGACTGTGATTCACTTAGAAGTCCTACGTCTCCTTTGGATTTCAGGCTTTTTTCCAATCTAAGCAACCCATTTGGTTTTAAATCCATATCATCAGCTGAAGCTGAAAGTGGTCGTCAAAATAAGTTTGTTTCTAGTGACATAGGTCTTGGCATCATAAATTCTATTGCTGTTGATAACTGTGGACCGACCAGTGAAGCCCCCGATTCGAACCCGAGGAAGAATGTAATTTTTGGACCACAAATCAAAACTAAGATCTTTAAATCGTCAAGCCATTATATCAAATCTTTGGGTTCTTCTTGGAAATATTATTCTTTGCCAAGCAATTATACAATCTCGTCACTTTCCAAAACCAAAGTTCCAAGCTCCTCTGGAGCCATAAATGGTGACTCTGCCAATGGAGAATTTTCTGCTTTAGAATCTGAACCCTTCGAACATAATGCTGGCAGCTTTTCCTCCTCTGCTATTGTTGACTTGACTCAAACTTCTGATCCAAGTGCTGAATTTTTTCCTTTGATTAACAATGGCCCTCAAGGGGAAAAGTCATTGCCCATCAAATCCTGTTCCTTGCCAATAACCATTGGAAACGATTCACATATAGGCTCTCTTTCTGCTAGAGAAATAGAACTTTCTGAAGACTATACTTGCATTATTTCTCATGGTCCAAACCCAAAGACGACGCGCATTTTTGGTGACTGTATTTTGGAATGTCAGATGGATGAAAATGTCGATTCCGGTAGGACAGATTCAGAAGAACCTGGGATCAAATCATCTCCGTTGGGAAGTTGCTCAGAAGGTTTGAGCTATGAAGCTGCTGGGAATGCGAGTTTGCAAATCTGTCACTCGTGCAAGAAAGTTTTGAAAGAAGAGCATGATATTCATTTATGGAGGTTTGTTTGATTGTCAGCACTTGTTAAACTCTTGAACTCCAACTCCAAACTTTATCTTGATTGTCAAATTTTCCTCTGTCAGGGATGGCAAGGCTTTCTGCAGTTCTCGATGCAGCTCTCAGGAGATTATCGCAGAAGATAAAATCGAGAAGGGTTTGGAAGATGGCAGCGATAGCTCTGCAGCGTCGAGCTACCATGAAGATCTCTTCATCATGGGTCTCCCCTTTGCTTTATGACAATGAGTTATAGTTTGTTTTCGCACCCTCCCACAGACGTATTCAATGAGGCGAAACGACAGGAAGAGGAGGATCATCTGTTTAGCAAGAGCTGTCTGTGTAAATCAATGAGTCTGCAGCCATGGATGATCGCAGAGCTTACAGTTTGAATTTATTTTTTTATCCATTTTGTGGTTTCATGGTGTTGGCGAGAAAGATGAGAGTTTTTGGTTGTTTATTGAAGATTTTGATCCGATTTGGTTAATCCTGGAGATCATTTTGGTGTTGTATCTCAAAGGCTTTTTTGTTAAGTAGAATAAAAGATTGTTTTGAAGAGATGTTTAAGCAAGTCAACGATTGGAAAGTTCTCAGATTGTTTTGAACGACTTTGGAAGTTCAAAGATCTCTCAGTTTGAATGGTAGGAAGAGAAGTCCCTTGATTGGAAATATATGTTGTAAATGGGGAATCAGATTCTATCTCATCTCTTTTGCTTTTACAACATAAATTATTATCATTCAAATTGTGTGTATTTTTAAAATATATCTACTCCAAATTTTAAAATTGGAACTCCTTTAACTTATTTCATGTTTTTCAAAATTCATAAATCTATTAACCAAGAATTTAATTTTATATATAATAGATAAAAAATGTATTAAATACAAAAAAAAAAGTTAATTAAACAATTAGAAAAGATGATTGCTTCATTTCTTTATTTCATTTAACATTTTCTGAACTAAATACAAGTTAGAACTAAAAAACTTTCTAAATTTATATAGTACACATTATTTATGGAATTATTAAAAAAAAAAAAAAAAAAGGAAATGGATGGACAAAAAAATGAAAAACAATAAAGACGACCACAGAGGAACTCGAACCTACAACTTCGAATTCAGAAGTCTAATCGCTAATCCACTGTGCTATGCAGTCAATATGTAGACATGTTTCAGAATTAAATTAAACCAAGGTAATTTTTGTATGCTCTTAAGTAGGTAAAATTCGACCACAGTGGGAGTCGAACCCACGACCTTTTGATCCGAAGTCAAACGCGCTAATCCACTGCGCTATGCGGTCGATATGTTGTCGTATTTTACAATTAAAAGTGAACCAAGTTATTTTTTGTAAAGTCTAATTATATAGAGGTAAAATTTAACCACCGTGGTATCCGAAGTCAAACGCGCTAATCCACTGCACTATGCGGTCAATATATTATCATATTTTTCAATTAAAATTGAACCAAGATATTTTTGTATGCTCTAAAATTCAACCACAGTAGGAGCCACAACCTTTTGATCCGAAGTCAAACACGCTAATCCACTGTGCTATGCGGTCAATATATTATCATATTTTTCAATTAAAATTGAACCAAGATATTTTTATATGCTCTTAAGTCTATAATTATATAAAAGGTAAAATTCAACCACAGTGGGAGTCAAACCCATGATCCACTCTGCAGTCTATATGTTGAATAATTGTTTAACTATTTTAATTTCTATATTTAAATTTACTATTTTATCCCTTTTCTATTAAACCAACATGAAATTTATTTATTTATTTATTTATTTTTTTACTTATTTAAATATGATTATAGTATAATAGTTAAAGGTTATCTTAACATAAAAGAAAGTGTTTTTGTTTTTGGTTAAAACTATTTTTCTGAATTTTGTTTTTATAATCTTGACGTTCCTCACATTCCGACATATCGTACGCTAGGCAGTGGCAGTTCTGTAATTTTTTGTCAACTGCAAACCATCGATCTCCTTGGTTTTCATATTTCCGCCGAGGGATCTCCAAAATACTCTAGATTCGAATCCCATCCCGTTTCATTTCTCTCCATCTTCGTGCACGAATCGTCTGGATCGCGGCTGCGATATTCGAATCTCTTAGAGCTTCCAGTGAGCTGAAAATGGTGAGCCTTCGATCTTGTTCCATTTCCAATACGCTTTACCCTGCAAGTGCAGCTTAGATCTGATCGAAATCTGATTCGCTTTGGTATTTCTTGCTGTAATGTTTGCGTGGTTTGAGTTTCCTCTGCTGAATTTCAACTCCCAAAACTTTCTTCATTTCTATCCATAATTTGGAATCCAATTAGTCTATTTTGTCTTGATTGCGGCCTGTTAATTGGTTCGGAGTGTTGTTCTGTTGTACATGCTAATTTACTTGAATTACCTATGGTCTGATGCTTGGTTTGTAACAGTTGAGGAGTAGGTGCCATACTAGTTGAAATATATCTCCTCTAGCTTCTTTGGGACTGGGGAATGGGGATAGAAAGGAAGCGGATATGTAGGAATTGAAATTTTCTGTTTGAGATACATGATGATCATTCACTGTCTGTGATTTTATTTACTGGTGCTTATTCTTGTTCCTTTCTTTTTTTGGGGTTCGAGACTAATAAATTGAAAATTTCGTATATTTACTCGGGTTCTACTATGGAGATTAATTGATTTTGTTTTATTTTCTTCCGTGTCCACAGCCTCTCAGACTCGCAATCAAGGTACTTTACCAACCATTTTAATCAATCACATTTCTTACCGGGTTTATACGCTATTATGATTTAATTCTTTATTTTTCATTTTTGTTAGAGGAAACTTGCTCAAAGGTCGGAAAGAGTTAAATCTGTAGACTTGCACCCTACAGAGCCATGGTAAGATTTACTTTCTGGATATTTGGAGCCTATATAGATCCTTTTGTGTGCATACACTTCAAGGATTCTGATATTTTAGGAACTTCTTAGTAAAATATGTGATGGAAAGATAACTGCTACCGTTGGATTGGGTACAAAAAAGTTTTGGTAGTTTAACTGGTGATAGCGATTGTGTTGGATTAGAGCAATGCATGGTGTTTGGGCATATGAGTTTTCTTCTCCTGAGCTGAAATTACCAAGTTCAAATGTTGTTTGTTTTTGAGAATGAAGACAATGGAAAGAAATTGTTGACATTTAATCATTACTGCAGGATACTGGCAAGTCTGTATTCTGGAACCGTTTGTATCTGGAACTACCAGTCTCAGGTATGAAAATCTGTGGATTGGATAAGATCAATAATAACTTGGACATTCTTTTGATTTTGATATATCTAGACATTTAAAATCAACTCTAGCCTTTTTATTACATTGCAGATTATGGTTAAATCTTTTGAGGTCACCGAGTTACCAGGTAATAGAAATGCCTTTTCTGTGGTCTGTTCAAGTTTGTTTCCCCTTTTCCCTTGTGGGACTGAAGTCTGAAAGGCAAACTACACTTTTCTCTCACTCTTCTTTGATTGGGCCTCATCTTACTCTTCAATGTTACATTTGCAGTCAGGTCGGCCAAATTTATAGCACGGAAGCAGTGGGTTGTTGCTGGAGCTGATGACATGCTTATTCGTGTATATAACTATAATACCATGGACAAGATAAAAGTATTTGAGGCACACACAGACTACATTAGATGTGTGGCTGTTCATCCTACCCTTCCTTATGTTCTGTCTTCGTCTGATGATATGCTAATAAAGCTTTGGGATTGGGATAAGGGTTGGGTGTGTACTCAAATTTTTGAGGGTCATTCTCATTATGTTATGCAAGTAACGTTTAACCCCAAAGACACTAACACCTTTGCAAGTGCATCCCTTGATCGCACAATAAAGGTACAGTACTCGTTGTCTGGGAGCATATTGTCCAATTTTCTAATTATTCTAGTAATCATTTGGCCTTATATTTGCAGATTTGGAATCTTGGATCCCCTGATCCCAATTTTACATTAGATGCCCATCAGAAAGGAGTGAATTGTGTCGATTACTTCACAGGTGGTGACAAACCTTACCTCATTACTGGTTCTGACGATCACACTGCTAAGGTCTTTATTATTTAACCAGTTTCTCAACTGTAGTCGTATTGTAATGGGCACATGATAGTTTGGATAGCTTATGAGCATAATGTTGCTTGTTAACATAGGTATGGGACTACCAAACCAAGAGCTGTGTCCAGACACTTGATGGTCACACACACAATGTCTCTGCAGTCTGTTTTCATCCGGACCTTCCAATTATAATTACAGGTTCTGAAGATGGAACGGTTCGCATATGGCATTCCACAACTTATAGGTAACTTTTGCCACTGAAATATTGTACTAATAGCTTAATATGTTTTTGGACATTACTTGGATTGAATCAATGCTTATGTGATACCTTATTTTTAATAGTAGAGAAGATCTAGAGACGACATTAGTTATGCATTGTTTCGAAATTTCTGTTCTGACCCTCGATAAATGAGTTAGTTACATTCATCACACACATGAATTATAGAATTCCAAACCTTTTGTTTTTTAACCGAGTCTTCAAATATCTAGCTATATTAAAATTTTAGATCTTATTTTGCTTTGATTATTTTTAAGTGTCATCTGACACTCTTCTCACTGACCCAAGCTCTACCTTTTTGAGCCACCATTTGGGATTTGGATATCCTTTCATCTAACTTCTACTTGAACTTTGAAATGCCTTTTTTCATTTGTCTGACTGAGGCTTTGTTCTTCTCAGTAATATCATTAGCCTGGTGCATGCCTGTTTTGATGATCATCATGTTGATTAAGGCCTATGCAATCTGGAATGGGTGAATTTTATTAAAGCTTTTCTTTTTTTCTTTTTGGGTTGATTAAAAATCACTGAATTCTTTAGGGAGATGAGAGATTGTTTATTCCTTTGTTGAATCATACTGTTCTTCTCTTTGTAATTATGGTTTTTCTTCTCTTTGCACTAATTGAAAAGCTTTCCTGTACCTTTCTCATCTTGGGTTGAGGCTTTCCTCCATCTTCTTTTGTTATTTCACGTCTTCAATGGAAACGTTTCTTATGAAGAAGAAGTGAATGTAATTAAGTAGGGCTACTTGGTTTTTTATGAATTATTAGTTATCTTTCGTCAATATATTTTGGTACTTTTTGTAATCTATATTTTGTGGAATTGTATTTGCTTTGTTGCCATTTCCACAAGTTGTAGTTATTTCTGATTTGCAGGCTTGAAAATACATTAAATTATGGCCTTGAACGAGTTTGGGCAATTGGGTACATGAAGAGCTCACGCCGGTAAGTTGATCAAATTTCAACTTTTCCACTCACTTTGAAGTCTTAGTTACATTACTTTCATATTCTGTTGCAAGATGCTTGAAAGCTATACTTTTTTAAAACATTAACTTGAGATCCTAATATCCCCCAATGGAAATGGTTAAAGTAGTTGTGATGTTATGATCAAGAAGAATTCCATTGGGGTTTTAACGTAACATTTCCTCAATCTACATTTTTCTTGACTTGAACTGGTTGACACACTACTCCCTACAGGGTTGTGATTGGTTATGATGAAGGAACCATTATGATAAAACT